TAAATTCTACATCTGAGAGTAAAGAGCTGTTGAACTTCCAAATTCCAGGACCGTGATTAGAAGGGTTAGTCGTTAGTTCAATTTTTACAAAGTCATGATCGGATAGGTCGTATACGCATGGAAGAATATTACATTTCGTTACTAGGGTTAAGCCTTTAGCGACGAGAAAGCGGTCAATTCTAGATGCCTGGGTATGGTCTTTATTAGACCAGGTGAAAGTTACTTTGCGCGGGTTGTTTTTGCGCCAAATGTCTGTAAGTGAGAAGTCAGCACAAAGGGATCGGAGAAGTTTTTGATCAGACAATAGGATGGCGGAACAATTTAATTTATCTAGGACATTGTCCACACAATTAAAGTCTCCCCCGATCACTAGGTCCCCTTGGGGGAGAAAGTAATTGTGCAGACAAGAGAAAAAACTTTTACGATCCGAAATAGTATTGGGAGAGTAAATGTTCACTAAATTTAGTTTAGAATTATAGTAGTCAATGAGTAAGCTCAATATTCTTCCTTCGGAATCGGTCAAAAAACGGACAATTTTGCCTGGAAAGTTTAGAGAAAAGAGGATGGCAACACCGGCAGACCTGCCAGTCCCGAAGGACCACAGACATTTGCCGCGCCAGAGTATTTCGAATTCCTCCGCTTGTTTTTTGCATGAGACATGTGTTTCTTGTAAAAGGATTATGTCACAGTTTGAATAATTTAATTCTTGAATAATTTTTCGACTTTTACTGGAGGACCCGAGTCCTCGCACATTTAGAGAAATTATTTTAAGCTTACTCATTGAATATAAGCAAATAAAAAATTAATATCTGTACCGCCTTCTCCTAGGTTTAACTCTCTCCCATCCATCATCATCAGTTTCGGAGCCAGAGTAGTCACGGCGGGAAGATCTATCGCGGCCATCGTGGCCGCGATAATAATCTCGATCGCTTCTATCTCTCTCTCTTCTGCCGTCTCTCCGGTCATCTCTTCGTTCTTCTCGATCGTCCCTCCCTCGCTCGTCTCTTCGTTCTCTTGGTCGTTCTCTTCTACCTTCGTCGCGTTGTTGTTCTCGTTGTTTCTCTTGATCTTGTTGTTTCTGTTGTTCTTGCTGTTCCTGCTTTTCTAGTAATTTCTGTTGTTCTTCTTGTTGTCGCTGATGTTCTCTCTGTTGTTGTAGTTTTTTCTGCCTTTCTTCTCTTTCCTTGGCGCGCTGGGCTCGCTCTTGTTCCTTTTCCTTTTCAGTTTTAGGTGGCGTTGGCTCACTATCGACGTTCGCGCTGAAGAGCAGGAAGGGGCATTGAGGCATGGAATGGTTGTCCGCTAAACAAACGGAACATCTTGGCGAGTCTTTACATTCTTGAGCTCGATGCCCAGGGCATTCACAATTAAAACAACGGACTGCGGAGCAGTCTTTGGCCATGTGGTCAGTAGCTCCACAATTCCGGCAAGCTTTTGGCTGATTTGGGTACCATATTTTGATAGGTTCACCAGCTATGTTGATGTTGGCAGGGATAGTTCGATGTAGCGCCATTCGAGCCGTTCTTACTCCATTCTCGATATGTTGTGCAATTTTGTCGCGCCGAAATGAAAGGACACGACCGTAGTGGCTGAGTCGGCCAATCACGGCAGTGTCGGGTAGTTCAGCGGGGGCTTCATGGATCTTGACGAGGACCAAACGATTTTCGCAGTCGCCCAGGAACACTTTGAGACCGGCAATCACGACGAAAGGTGTTTCAAGAGCGGCTTCTTTAGCTGCACGGCTCTTAAAAGTCACGATCCAAGATCTATTGGACGCCTTTCTCTGGATTCCGGTGATAGCGTCAATATCGATTTCTGCCGCGTCAAAAGCTTCGAGAATTATTTGCGATGTGACGGTTGTATCAACGCTAAAATAAATAGAGCGATCCTTCGTGATTCTACTTTGACTGGGAGCATTCAAAAAAGGCACGGCCTGAAATTTCACACCCTTATTTTCCGGATTTTTTAGTACCTCAGGGATTTCGATTTCCACGTCTGCGCCCCAGGACTGGGAACCTTCTACCACGCTTGCGTCTACGACGTCTCCTGGATTCGCTGTCGAGTTATCTGTAGTAAACTGGCTGATATTTTCACTTTCCTGGCTGTCCATGTTGACCAATTGCTGCAAAAGCAAGGAAAATAAACTTTTCATAAGCCTTTTAACCTTACCCAAGAGGCCGAGAAGCTTTCAGTACTGTTTCGGCCTTCTGGGCCTCATCAGTGCAGTGCCGATAATAGGATGGAGGTGAGGCCATATAGCCACCCCAAGTGATCTCACACATGTGGGATCATTTAAGCCATGCCAGAGTGCTCAAACTAGAAAAACTAGTGGGCATGCATCACGATTCGCAGGCTTGTCGGGAAAATGTAGTTGCGTCCTTTTTTCCTCTCAAACATATATATATATATATATATATGTTAAGAGGAAAAAAGGACGCAACTACATTTTCCCGACAAGCCTGCGAATCGTGAAGAGTGAAGCGATTCACGAAACAGGCTTGTCGGGAAAATGTAGTTGCGTCCCTTTTTAACTCGTGAATTGCGCGCATGCGCAAGAGCGAGTTATAGATACGATGTGGGGAATGGCATTCGCTCGATTGGTCGATTCCTGTAAACTTTTTTAGATTTTAGGCTTTTGAGTGCATTTGATAGTTTTTGGCGAGCAATAAACAGACGAAATGGCGACCTTTGTTGCTAAGAATAGTGGTGGGGTGAAAAAGAAGCCAATGATAATCTTAAAAGAGTTTTTTTTTTTCGTTTTAGTTTCAACAAGCGGCGCCAGCGACTGGCAGGCATGCAAGGATTCACACTGAAATAACAGAACAACCTTCGTTTTTCATAAAATTGTAATTTACAATCCTTGAACTTGAAAGCAATCCGAAGATTCATTGAAAATATCACTTACTGCGAAGCGCTCGGAGTTTATAGATGTTCAAAAGCTTTTTCTGTTATGGCGTGAGATTGAGGACAAAATTGATCATTACGTTTCGTCGCGTGTGTTTTTCCTGTGTGAAGCAACAAAAGTGCCGGCGACTGACGAAATAACAAGTTAACACGAAAATCAAATAACACCTAAACAAACAATTTTAGCTACCGATTTTCAGTGAATTTTTAAAGAGCAATTTTCTTTTCAGTTTCAAGACAATTTGAAGATTCAACATACATACAACGTACTAAAATGCGAAAGTTACACACCACAAAATAGATAAATAGGCCTGAAATGAAATTCTATCTTGTTATTGATTATACGTTGCCTAGCACGTGACTTAAATCTACCCAGGCGGAGATCCAAAATGACGGTGGCAGGCTTGGCTCAGTTATATCACTCAAAACTCGTTCCCGTTTGTCTCATTTGATAAAGAGGAAATCGTTAATGTTTTCATTAAGACAGTATTGCCTTGATTTTCTAATATTTACAACGAAAGACAGTAAATTTCACTTTTCACCCACATTTACTTCCGACCTTTTCTTTTAAACCAGAAACAAAAATGATATACGTTTAAAACACGACATCATCCACCCTTGTCAAATGTAATAGCATGATCATTTCAATTGTAATGCCTTCTTATCCCAACGTTACTTTGTTTCTTTGCTACATTAGCGAACACTGAACTACTGCTCGTACTCTAGATATGACAATCAACCAAAATTCCCTAAACCAGATAACATTAAACATAGTCTAAAAAATCAGGTGTCAATTCACGAGTTTGCTCACAGAGCACTTTGATTTCCTCTTAAAATATTTATTCCGCTCTGCTCCAACGTATTGAGCACTGTTCCACGCGAAAATCGACTTGCAGACTCCCTATATATATATATATATATATATATATATATATATAACTGCAGACAGTACTGTTTCGGCCTTCTGGGCCTCATCAGTGCAGTGCTGATGCTAGGATGGAGGTAAGGCTATATAGCCGCCCCAAGTGATCTCACACATGTGGTATCATCTAAGCCATGCCAGAGTGCTCAAACTAGTAAAACTAGTGAGCATGCATAATGCTAGCAGCAATGACTCATCCTAGTAGAGTGCTCAATTTGGACATGAAAGCAAAGCTTTGTATGCCAAAGAGCTATATCTATATATATATTTATATATATTTATATATCCGTGTATTTCAAATAAATTTCAACGGTCTTATGAAATATTTTTCTCGCATGCAAATTTTTTTCGTATTCAAATATATTTCGTATTCTTTCGGTTATCATTGTGTATTTATTGTCTTGTAACTCGGATATGTGGCACAAAAGTAGCAGACGAAAAACATGTTGAGTGCTTTTGGTCAACAAAATGCAATCCCCTGCATAAATTTTCCTTTGATATTTATGTAACCTTTTCCAACTGTTCAGTTGATAAAACGGAGCGAAACAGTAGCGGCAGAGCGAAAGGGAAGGATAATGAGTATACAAAAGTATGTGTGAGCATACGAGTCTGTGTTAGGATACAACGGCACCTACGCAAAGGGTATCGATTAATCCTTTACACCCTAAGGTCAGTATGCATATTCTCCATACTGTTTCCTATCCATTTCCTAAGGTGCTGACGAGGAGATTTTGCAGAACAATCAAGAGCTCCTGTACTTGTTGATCATTTCCGTTATTCTCGTGACCTTAATGTTTGATTCAGGAGTGATATTGTGAGGAGAAATTAGATGCTAGTCACTCTTTGGGGTTACAAGGTTAAATTGATAAAATTACTGGGGTATCTATGAAAATACAATGGTTTGCATTACTTACAAAAATATCTCTTCTTCTTTTTTAAAATGTGTTTAATTAGGGATGTTAAACCACAATATTTCTTGACAAAAGCCTTGCAAGAAATTTCCAAAAATTTAAGCTTAGAAAATTTTTCTTTTCCAAGTCACACATTAGTTTAAAAGTCTCTTGAATTGGCTAACTAATCACCTTTGAAAAGGATTAAGAATTTCCTTGAAGAACTAATCGCGTTCGAAACCTTGGCTTGTTCACTATAATAATGACTTCGGAACTCTTATAAAGAGATAATACTATACACTGTCTTGTTTCAGATTATTAAACTTAGATGTCTGATGAGAATTTTACAGAAATGTCTTCCTCTGTGTATCGATTCGAGTTGTCCTTCTTTTACAGGCTAGTAATTAAATAGTTCCGAGCTTTACTGAGTCTAGTTCATTCTCCTACAGAGGATTTATCCAAGTCATGGCTTTTAAGGTACGCGAGGCACCGGCCAATTTCCAAAATCAAATTTCACGTTGTCGCCTATGATCATAAATGGCGCCCATTGAGAAACTTTGTCAAAACCGTTGTTTCTCATCCACTTTCTGGCCTTATGGAGAGATTCACTGACGCTTTCACCGCGGAACAAATGTCTGTAGAAACAAGTCATGAACTGCTCTGTGGCTGTGTCATCCAGGGCCCATCGTGCCGCTAACACTGAGCGAGCTCCGGCTCCTAAGAACGCTCGGGCAATTCCGATAACTCCCTCGGTTCTAATGTGTCCGCGAGCACTGTGACAACAACTAAGAACCACTAGTTTAGCTCGCAACCTAGTTTTTGAAATATCCGCCATCGTCAAAAGATAATCTCCTTCTCGAGGTAAAGGTGAGAGTGGGGAAGGGTGCTTAGGAGAAAGAGCAATCTCCCCTCTTTCGGCATCACCATGGGCAGCAATGTGTATCAAGCTCACTGAATTTATCGTTTGAAGTACAGAATGCTTTGTCGCGGAATATCCTATCCAAGGCGTTACGCCAAGAAGTCTTCCAATCATCTCTGCTTCCTTTCTTGCACACGGCAATGGTGCTATATTTCTGCGCCTTCCCTTGTAAATCACCTCTCCAACCACAGGGTCACCCACTATCAGTGCCCCGGTCTGACTGTGATATTCTGGAGGACTGTCTTGAACAAGCTTGAGAGTGGTCAGAGAGGGAACTATCCGAATCCTGCATGTCTCTGATAAATACTTGCCTCCTTCGTCAGCCAAGGCTGCAAATGGCACTTGGTACACACAGGAATCAGGGACAATTATGATCTCGGGCTGCTTCAGTAAACTGGCTACAGGAGCGATGATTATCTTGTAACACAAGTCAAGACTTGTTTTGAAATCTTTGGCATCATAGTCACGCAGCACTGAGCGCTTGTCGTAGGGAAGTGACGTCAGTTCGGTGTCATCTAAAGATCGATCTTCGCAATTCTGTTCGGGTAAAATGGCTTGGCTGCGGAAGGCTTCTTTAAAAAACTCATCTAACTCAGGGACTATTCCGGTCACCTTGTTTTGGTCCAGGTTCACTTTCTTTTTTAAAAACTGAATGGCTCCCGTTGCTCTAATTATCCAAAACCGTACATCATTTTGACCAACCGAAATGTACAGGCATGCACATTCTGCTTCTTTTGTGATGATCCCTTGAATGCCACACCAAGATTGTGGATCGCTTGAGATCTGCTCTTGAACAGAGTACCGAGCTGCCATCAAGTCGGCCAGGCCTCTTGCCCTTGTCAGCTCTTCGACGTAAAGGGCATCTTGCGACTTTCCAGTGGAAGAAAGCAACCAACTGAGGAACTTGTAGGGAAAGGTGCCGTGCTCTTCTAAAAAAGATATTTGAAACTGATCGTTTTCTTTAAGAAAACCTCTCAAAGTGTCGAATTTTTGGATGGCTTGAAAAAGATGCAAAGAAGCCTCTTCACGATTACCTTGTGACGCCTTTAACACCGATAGATTACAAAGACACTGAAACTCCTCCAAGTTGAGTCCAATATCCCTACTTAATAGGAGAGCCTGTTTAAGGTATTCTTCAGCCATGTCATATTTACTTTGCGATTGGAAACAGAATCCTAAATCGCTGTAACTGGCTAGTAGTCCTTCTCTCTCACCGATTTTCATGTAAATTCCAAAGGCTTTCTTGAAATATTCTAGAGCCTTGTCATATTCACCACGCTTACAAGAAATTAACCCGAGGTGTCTGTAATCTGCTGCTTCTCCGCTTTTATCACCGATACCCTTTCTAACTGCCATTGCCTTGTTTAGATATTTTTCAGCCTCTCCATACTTGCCGAGCGAGAGAAACAAACCTGTGAGGTTTCTATAACTATTTGCCTCTCCTCTTTTTTCGCCAATTTTCTTTTTGATACGAAATGCTTTCTCCATACACTCTTCAGCTTCGCTATGTTGACCAAGGCATAGAAAAAAAGTTCCTAGGTTTCCGTAGCTTGTTGCTTCTCCATCCCTGTCGCCAATTTCTATTTTGATAGCGAGTGCTTTCTCCTGATATTCTCGGGCCTTGTCATAATGACCAAGTGATTGGAACAAAGTTCCTAGGTTTCCGTAGCTTGTTGCTTCTCCATCCCTGTCGCCAATTTCTATTTTGATAGCGAGTGCTTTCTCCTGATATTCTCGGGCCTTGTCATAATGACCAAGTGATTGGAACAAAGTTCCTAGGTTTCCGTAGCTTGTTGCTTCTCCATCCCTGTCGCCAATTTCTATTTTGATAGCGAGTGCTTTCTCCTGATATTCTCGGGCCTTGTCATAATGACCAAGTGATTGGAACAAAGTTCCTAGGTTTCCGTAGCTTGTTGCTTCTCCATCCCTGTCGCCAATTTCTATTTTGATAGCGAGTGCTTTCTCCTGATATTCTCGGGCCTTGTCATAATGACCAAGTGATTGGAACAAAGTTCCTAGGTTTCCGTAGCTTGTTGCTTCTCCATCCCTGTCGCCAATTTCTATTCTGATAGCGAGTGCTTTCTCCTGATATTCTCGGGCCTTGTCATAATGACCAAGTGATTGGAACAAAGTTCCTAGGTTTCCGTAGCTTGTTGCTTCTCCATCCCTGTCGCCAATTTCTATTGTGATAGCGAGTGCTTTCTCCTGATATTCTCGGGCCTTGTCATAATGACCAAGTGATTGGAACAAAGTTCCTAGGTTTCCGTAGCTTGTTGCTTCTCCATCCCTGTCGCCAATTTCTATTCTGATAGCGAGTGCTTTCTCCTGATATTCTCGGGCCTTGTCATAATGACCAAGTGATCGGAACAAAGTTCCTAGGTTTCCGTAGCTTGTTGCTTCTCCATCCCTGTCGCCAATTTCTATTCTGATAGCGAGTGCTTTCTCCTGATATTCTCGGGCCTTGTCATAATGACCAAGTGATTGGAACAAAGTTCCTAGGTTTCCGTAGCTTGTTGCTTCTCCATGCCTGTCGCCAATTTCTATTCTGATAGCGAGTGCTTTCTCCTGATATTCTCGGGCCTTGTCATAATGACCAAGTGATTGGAACAAAGTTCCTAGGTTTCCGTAGCTTGTTGCTTCTCCATCCCTGTCGCCAATTTCTATTTTGATAGCGAGTGCTTTCTCCTGATATTCTCGGGCCTTGTCATAATGACCAAGTGATTGGAACAAAGTTCCTAGGTTTCCGTAGCTTGTTGCTTCTCCATCCCTGTCGCCAATTTCTATTTTGATAGCGAGTGCTTTCTCCTGATATTCTCGGGCCTTGTCATAATGACCAAGTGATTGGAACAAAGTTCCTAGGTTTCCGTAGCTTGTTGCTTCTCCATCCCTGTCGCCAATTTCTATTTTGATAGCGAGTGCTTTCTCCTGATATTCTCGGGCCTTGTCATAATGACCAAGTGATTGGAACAAAGTTCCTAGGTTTCCGTAGCTTGTTGCTTCTCCATCCCTGTCGCCAATTTCTATTGTGATAGCGAGTGCTTTCTCCTGATATTCTCGGGCCTTGTCATAATGACCAAGTGATTGGAACAAAGTTCCTAGGTTTCCGTAGCTTGCTGCTTCTCCATCCCTGTCGCCAATTTCTATTTTGATAGCGAGTGCTTTCTCCTGATATTCTCGGGCCTTGTCATAATGACCAAGTGATTGGAACAAAGTTCCTAGGTTTCCGTAGCTTGTTGCTTCTCCATCCCTGTCGCCAATTTCTATTTTGATAGCGAGTGCTTTCTCCTGATATTCTCGGGCCTTGTCATAATGACCAAGTGATTGGAACAAAGTTCCTAGGTTTCCGTAGCTTGTTGCTTCTCCATCCCTGTCGCCAATTTCTATTGTGATAGCGAGTGCTTTCTCCTGATATTCTCGGGCCTTGTCATAATGACCAAGTGATTGGAACAAAGTTCCTAGGTTTCCGTAGCTTGTTGCTTCTCCATACCTGTCGCCAATTTCTATTTTCATAGCGAGTGCTTTCTCCTGATATTCTCGGGCCTTGTCATATTGACTAAGCGATTGAAACATTTTCCCGAGCCTTATGTAACATACTCCCTGGCCATGTGTGTCTCCAATCTTTTTCATGATGTTGATTGCTGATTCGTAAAAGTTCCAGGCCTCCATGAACTTACTTTGTACCCGAAGTATTTCTGCCAGTTTTAAATGTAGCCATCCTTTTTCAGCGGAGTCATGAGAGTCTAGGTAGAGGAGGAGTTTTTTAAGGTAGTTTTCTGTATTTGTGTAATCCTTTATATAATCGTAAGCACAGATTATTGCCAAGTAGATGGCACAGAACACAGTGTTTGCCAATGAAATATCGATTACCAGCACCTGACTATGTATTATAATCAAACATTCCTTGTATACTTCGATGGCTTGCAACACGCGACCAGTTTTGCGAAGGAAGTCGGCGACCACCATACCTATGGAGATAGCTGATATAGCTTCTTTTATGCTGTCCATCTTGACCCTGTTTCTTCTCAGTTTGAAAAAAAGGAGAAATTAGGGAAAACTTAAACACGGACTGTTTGTAAAAAATCTTTTAAGTTTTAAATTTCAAATTGCAATTTTTATCTTCCTCTCCCCGCCTTGTATTTTTTTTTTTTTTCGTATTAACAGGCGGTGCACGTGATTTCACAATTAGCAAATCACGTCGAAGAACTCTAACCTTGACATTGGAAAACTGACGTGGACATTTTTGGCGTAGTTTTGTTGCTTGTTTTAACGGAGTTTAGATAATTGTTTTTGAGGTTTTGTTCGCGCTATTTTTTGAACCCTTGGTTTTGAATTTTGAGACATTTTAATTTAAGCAAAATGTTGTGGTTCATTTAACAAGTTTAAAACATATTTTCTGCGGAGTTTGGACTCTAGCGTCTTTTTTTTGTAAATGGATTTTTTACATTGTCCGTCAAAGAGGAACACACCTTTGCCCTCTGTTCTACTGGAGTGTTCGTTACACTGTCACGCCAATCACGCAAATCAGAGACCAACTGGAAAATTTAACTGGATAACAGAACACAACAAGTTTCATTTGACCTGCTGATTCCTACTTAGTTTACAGTAACTCAATTCAATTGTATGAGGGAGCAATGCTCTTAACCAAATCGATTTACTGGGCTCTCAAGGGAGCTATTGTTCCAGAAATTAAATAAGAAAGCAGGTTTCCCTTGAGCTGCTTCCTAAATTAAAAATATATTATGACTCATAGATGTTGCATGTGTTCGGAGAATGTTCCATATAAGCTACCTCTGTGTGAAGGTCCTGTACTTTACGGAGTGTTTGTAAAAATTTTCCGTGAATAATCAATACGAACTTAATTTGATGATCTTGCATTTTGATTGTGTATATCCTTGAAACAGATGCATTATTTGTCGATGTTTTTGGAAAAAATATCATAAGGTATCGATACATAAACAATGATTTTTTTCCCCAATATATCTCATTCAAAAGAAGAAGTCGTAGTTTCTTTTTAAACAGGGGAGGGAACAGTGAGATTTCTATATGCTGTTAATGTTGTTATTCTTATAATTTTCTTTTGTAGCTTTCATAACAATACTAGTGTTGTTTGGATTTCTAAAACAGTCAGCATCGATGCAAATTACCTTTTGAAGCTAGAAACGTTCCTTATTCATTTTGATGAAGGCTAAGGGACTTGTATAAGATCTTCCGGAGGAGATCAACGTTTTCCTGGAAAAAAAGAAGAAAAAAAATTCATGGTGAAAAGTCGGGAATTTATCAAAATTGTTTTTTTGTCCCTTGTCACGCCATCAAACTGAAAATAACCGGAATGAATCGGCTTAAAGCCAAGAAGCATCGAGAAGATTTATACCAATCTGGCAAAGTCTTTCTTTCGGAGTCAATTATTTGCACTGAATAGGCGATCGCCCAAATTTCGGACAAAAATCGATGGGGTGCAGTTTGAGGAGGCCAATTTTGTTCCCTTTCATAGTCTGCAAATGTAATGAGCGTAAAGTAAATAAATGTTGTTTATTTTCACTATAAAAATAATAAGTTACCCATTGCGTTCTGGCAACGGGTAACTTATACCCATTACACGGGTCTTATACCCACCCAGGAGCTCATTAATACTATTGGAAAGTGAAACTTCCAGTGAATTCTTATCAAACACTTATGAACACTTATCAACCCACTCTTTCCTATTATTTACAACTTTGTCTTCGCACTTACTGGCAAATTACTATTGGAAAGGGAAACTTCCGGTAAATTCCGAGTAATCAGGAGTACCTTTGAAGGATCTTTGAAGGAAGTTTCGATAAGATTTAGGAAAAGAGTCTGTGGAAAAAACTTGACCTATTCAGAGAAAGGCTTTTCAAGAATTTGAAAAGAATTTTTAAATTCTTGAAAAATATCAATGTGTTATCTTTTAAGGGTACAACACTTATCAACCCAGCCGTTCCTCTTATTTACAACTTTGTCTTCGATGACGCAAATCACACTTACTGGAAAATGAACAGCTTATGAAGAGATAGTCATCGAGCACAAATAGCTTACCGTTTCAAGACAGAAGCTCCAATTCAGTACTGTAACAAGTCTTGACTGTAATTTTGTGTTAAAAATCCAACGGTTCTTTCAAAACAATGTATACTGAGACCGGATGTTACCTGCAACCAAAGTGAATTGTTTCATTTTTGCATGCTCACATACATCATCGGTAAAAAAGTTGGACGTACAAAACCGAAATACATTTACGTAGATTAGATGGCACCGCTTTAAAAGTAAGATAAAAAATATCTGTTTGTCTTTATCTTTCCATCATTGGAAGGAACGTGATGAATTTTATTGAAGCTTTTGTAATGGACATTCTAAATTCATATTTTATTTTTCACATAACGGTTGGAATTCTGCGCAAGGTTGGTGCGTTAGTAGAAAAAACTCCATGGTGTAAAGTCGGGAATTTACCAACATGATTTTTTGTCTCTTGTCACGCCATCAAACTGAAAATAAACGGACTGAATCGGCTTAAAGCCAACAATCATCGATAAAATTTATACCAATCTGGCAAAGTCTTTATTTCGGAGTCAATAATTTTGCACTGAATATGCGATCGCTCAAATTTCGGGCAAAAATTTTGTTCCCTTTCATAGACTGCAAATGTAATGAGCGTAAAGTTAATTAATTTTGTTCCTTTTTGCCATAAAAATGATAAGTTACCCGTTGCGTTCTGGCAACGGGTAACCTATACCCACCCCACGGGTTTTATACCCACCCCAATTATCCCCTACTATTGGAAAGTAAAACCTCCGGAATATTCAGAGTATTCAGCAGTACCTGCCATCAAAAGGAAAAAATCACTCGTTCTTTCAAGGAAGTTTCGATGAGATCCACGAAAATAGTCTGTGGAAAAAGTTGACCTATTCAAGAAGGGGGTTTTCAAGAATTTAAAAGAATTTTCAAATTCTAGAAAAGCAACAAGCTACGGAAACCTGGGAACGTTGTTCCGATCACTTGGTCAATATGACAAGGCCCGAGAATATCAGGAGAAATAGAATTTTCAACTTTTGATAATTCGGCTAATCGCCCTGTGCACTAACTGTTCAAGTTTAAATCGTTTGCCCGAATAAAGCGAATATATAGACTCAAATAGATGACCGATGTTTTACATTCTTTTGAAAATTTTTCCTTGTAAGCGTGGGTACGGTTCATTATCCACCTTTCGCTCCCCTCCCTTAAAGAGGTTTAACTTGTTGATCATCACTTATAAGAAGCTAAGCGAGATCCTCTGGAAAATGAACAGCTCATAAGGAGATAGTCATCGAGCACAAATAGCTTACCGTTTCAAGACAGAAGCTCCGATTCAGTACTGTAACAAGTCTTGATTGTAATTTTGTGTTAAAAATCCAACGGTTCTTTCAAAACAATGTATACTGAGACCGGATGTTACCTACAGCCGAAGTGAATTGTTTCATTTTTGCATGCTCACATACATCATCGGTAAAAAAGTTTTGACGTACAAAACCGAAATACATTTACGTAGAATAGATGGCGCCGCTTTAAAAGTAGGATAACAAATATCCTCTGTCCTTATCTTTCCTTCATTGGAAGGAACATAATGAATTTCATTTAAGCTTTTATAATGGACATTGGGAAATCATATTTTTCACATAACGGTTGGAATTCTGCACGAGGTTGATGCGTTAGTGGAAAAAAACTCCATGGTGCAAAGTCGGAAATTTATCAAAATTACTTTTTTTTGTCTCTTGTCACGCCATTAAACTGAAAGTAAACGGACCGAATCGGCTTAAAGCCAAGAATCATCGAAAAAATTTATACCAATCTGGCAAAGTCTTTATTTCGCGGCCAATTATTTTGCACTGAATAGGCGATCGCCCAAATTTCGGACAAAAATTGGTGGGGTGTAGTTTGAGGAGGCTAAAGTGAATTGTTGCGTGTATGTGCTAAAGTGAATAATTGCGTGTAGGTAAATGGGCCGTTAACCATCCAGGCTTCGTACTGCGCACGGACCTTTGCTTTGAATGGTTTACTAATGCACTTATCCAGGGGCTGGAGAACTGGAGTGAGCCCACCGGGAATTACGGCGGTATATTGACCATGACTCTCCTTGTAACACATGAAGGGTTAAAGAAGCCAACCACATTAGATTTAATCCTAATAACATCAATGGAGTTAACTGAATTGAAATTCCTTACGTGTGGATGCCTTACTATCAAAAAGCATGGTAGCCGATAACAAAGTGAACCTATTAAGGGAACAACTTCCAGTTCTCAGAATAATAATGAGGATCAAAATGCACCAATGACAGCGCACCATAACCCACCAATAACATAAAACCAAGGTGTTACAAATAGCCACACATAACTAAGTATAGCAGTAGAAACATTGCAATCAATGCACAATTGATTGCGGCTTGACTCTTACATCTTGGGACAAATGATTAAATTTCAATTCTCAATAAAAACAAAACTTTCTATAACTTTCCATAGTATAGGTAATGGTAAAACAGAGAGGATAAAAATGATTTAAGAAGAAAATTGTATTTGGTATTTTAGTCAGTGGGTCAGTGTCTTTAATAGGTGTATTTAGTGGTGCAAGAAAATTGATGGATTTAAATTATATGAATAATAGTGTTGTTGTTTTTTTTTTATTTTTTTAAGGGACACTCTTGCTTGACCTTGATTAGTAAATGATGGGTGGCTATGGTTTGAGCTCTTACCCAGGCCAGAGTTGGGGGAGAGGCTGGTTAGGTTGATAGGGGTACAAATGTTTAATAATTAAACTCCTTCAGGTGGCTGGTATATCGGCTGATAATGTACGCCACAGAGACATTGTCCAAAAAATGAGCATTTGACCCAGAAGCAAAGCTTTGAGGGCAAATGTGACATTTTTAGGACAATCTCTTGGCCAAGTAAACTATTACCTGACATACCAGCAGGCTAGAAGCGCGTTTATTTATTTTATGACCCTCCCATTAATTTTTGTTTTGC